GGTAATGGATTGTTAGTTATTGCCGTACATATCTGTATATACGTAAGTCTATAATAAGGTGCATGACAATCACGGCCAAGAGCAGATTTTTTATCCAGGAAGCTGGTCATCGTTGTGGTACAATTATACATAGAGCACTTAACAAGTTAACCAAGCATTTAAAGTAGCACTCCTCCATTTGCATCTTAACGGTTATGCCACAACAAGATGCATAATCACCGCGGTCAACATAAAGCCGACAACAGCTCACTGAGTTGACAACAGCTCACTGCCAAAAGAATTCCCTTTTTTTTACGTTCTTCAAAAATTGATGATTTGTAACACTCTCTGGAATCGCAAAAGCTAAGGGTATACAAACTGCCTAAGTTAGGTATACTAATGTATTTAAATGTAACTAAATAGGAGTATGAATGCCGCTAATAAAATTTGATAAAATTACTGAAGACATTTCACTGAGATAACTTTGGTTAACTAAGTTAACCAATGACAAGTTGCATGATAAAAATTCTACTTACAAACTCCCTGTGTTGTCATGCTGGTGCAGCCCAGCGCAATCTGCAGCGCCGAGAGCACACGGATCGTCCTTAAAACACCCAAAATGGAGCCGCTCACCCCCGAACTGAGACCACCATGGTCAAACTGGCGGAATTCTTGCGGTGCCGGTAATGTCGTCATTGTGACCGATGTTTGCTCTAATAAAAACAGCAACAGCTGTTCACTAAACAGAGTCGTTAGGGAATGCAAAAATTTTACATACAAATGCTCGTTTAAAAGGCGGCATCGTGACACGACAGAATGAATAATTGCAAGTACAGATGCACAGCAAAGTTTACGGGGAAGCATGGCGTCGACGAAAAATATCTCAACAGCTCCGCACTTGATCTGTCACGCATAAATGGAAACTGCACGCGGGGGCGAGACATAAACTAATTAACGATTGGTTTAACCAGGGCTTGTTCTGGTATGCAAATCACCCGCCAATTAATTTGCGCAAAAACCGATTCGGAATGATTAGCCATCCCGTTCCCAAAACGCTGATGTCGCCCCTGAAGGGGTACATGCCACACGAAATACCGCCATGCCTAATAGTCACAGCAGCGCCAAAAAGGAATGGTTGTTCTTCGCGCTTTAACAGCATACGCTAATAGAATGCCCTGAATTAAGCTCCGCCATCAGAAAAGTTATGGGTCCACTGGGTCGAAAGGTTCTTAATTTTGCCGGTATATCCAAACCCGATGTGTCGAAATTCCCAACTCTTGTTAAACCCTTAACAACCATCTCTAGAGAGTATAAAGTGCAGGCGGTTCTCTTATGCTTTGAGAACAAAAGCAAAGATGGTGAAAAACATCAACAAAATACAGAACTGTTTGACGTTTGCGATTGTGTGTGCATGGCTGAGGATGTATTGACCACCATTCCTTGTATCGAGGGTCGGCGAGCGACATGGTCACCTCGCACTCACCTGAGCAATGCCAACCGATCGTTGTTATCGTTCGAGTATACAGTGCACACTCCACTGTATGTACTGTACGTACGGCACTATATGTTTCTGCAAGGCCGGTGATTTATTTCCTCCGTAAAGATACAACGAGAACAATTACACCCTATATGCGTCTTTGTTTCCCTGTTACATTTTTTACTGAAGGTGCGCGCGCGCAGGCCAGCGGTGCTGAAATGTACAAAGATTTACGGTTCACATTACATTCAAAATATAAGGGGCAAAACTAAACGTGTTCCCCTGTTCTGCTGCCGTCGCCCGGCTGGAGTTTTACGTTGTGGCTAAACATGGAGCTTATGTACCGCGCCAGATTTAACCATATGTACTGCCGTAACGTCACACTCCAGGCGGGTGACGGCAGCAGTACAGGGGAACGGTAGAACGCGTTTACTTTCGCCCCTTATTTACAAAGATTTTTATTCATGGGCTACACCGCAGTGCATACTTCTATAAATAGCCGCGTATTACATACTTCTCCTCCTCTGTACTCCTCTGTAAAGTGTAAATTCTCCTTTATATGAACTACGGTTACAAACAGCTCCTTACCGCAGCTAGCTATGCCTATCTGTTAAGCGCCAGAGTCGCGCTTAGCCTGTACTTATTGTACTTCCTGTACTTATTGTACTTATTGTACTTCCTGTATTTATTGTACTTCCTTTACTTTAGGCCAGCAAATTAATCTGCAAGCTTGTACACTGTACATACGGCGCACTCGAAGATTAGAGTGCTCGTCTACGTTTGTACGCGGTAGGTACTACGTACATTCTGTATGTTTTTCACATGCCACACGAGTGTAGATAACCAATACAGTAAAATAACAATAGTTTTCATAGTCATTCTACATTATTTGTAAACTGTAAGTACTCGATCTCGGACATTTTCAACTTGACAAAACAAACGAGTTTCGTACAGCAGTACACTGGCTAAGCAACCAGGCTCGAGATTTGGATATGGCAACGCCAAAATTTTCTCACATAAGAATGTTCAAACTGAATACTGCTAGGTACGCCGTCCGATCGCAGTCGTACGTACTACATGGTAACATAATTATTCTGTACAGTTAAACAGTATACTATACCATTTGCTTGGAATCTGACTCAGATAACAGGTAGACTGTAAGTGCGAAAATTTAAATGCAAACCAGTTTTGCTGATACGGTACACTTGTACAGTTACGCTCCAGTGGCAGTGAAGACGGGTCAATCGATTCCTGTGCTGATGGATACAAATGGATGGGCAGCAGTGTATGAGCCATTGGACCTTCGGTAGTACTTTCAACTGACATTGGCAGTCAATTTGCTGGGTAGCTCATGCGCTAAGCTGTCCGGCCGGCACTTATAGTGTACTACCAGGAAACGTATGAGTGATATGCCAGAGCAAAGAGACACCTGGATGGCAGTACGGTTGTTGGCCAAACCTTGTAGCCGGAAACTGACCCGGACAGTGATTTTACCGCTTCAACTGTAAAATCGTTTATAGAGCGTCAATTTCCCTATTTAATTCAACAGAAGCAAATCTAAAAAGAGAAACAAAATAGTATTACAAAGTGTGAACTCGCTTTTAGCGGGCACCAGATGCTTAAATATAAAAAAATAATATATCATCATAATAATACTCATACATGTATTACCAATAATACAACCAAGGCAGTCCATTACATCTGCCGGTAGTAATACGAGTAGATGTCTGTAGAGTTCTGATAGGAACTAATACTTGCACCTCTAATACGGGTACCGAAACGAGTGTATAAATGAATCAGGAATCAAAACCTCGTGCCACTTCAACCTTTACAATAACCAATCAGTACTGGAAAAACTTGTTTCATTAATTAGCAAATATCGTATGTTTTTTATTATTTCGGCATTCACATTTCGAAACGGAATTCTCAATAGGATTTTTTGCAGAGCCACATTATAGCAAATCTCATACTACTACGATGAATATTACTACATACTTTGTAGATGTTAAATCTTTTTAACGGATGCGATACTCAAGGATACTCACAGTACCGTGCTCCTGTTTTTTAATCCCAAAGCGTTGAAAATTACAACGTTAATGCCCAAAATATACTGTGCAACAACTGTGAAGCAACTGTGAAAAATTAGGCGCGATTAATTTTATATCGGTCTTTTGTCTGCTTCAGCAGTCTAATATGCTTTTTATAAGTAATAAGTTGTGCCGCAATACGCGTGACTGGCAAAATTCATCGGATGACTCGGTAACCATAACAGTTGCACCAAGCGCGAGTGATAGCCAGCTAATACACTCTGTTTTAAATCAATATTTTATTTCAACTGAAAAGTACGAGTATAGTAAATGGGTGTTTTCGAGCTTTTTAATCAGAAATTACTGCAACCTCTTAACATCTCGCTTTTGCGCTGTCCTAGCGCTAAATCTAGTTACTGTATGACCAAGGAAGTGTTCCCGTGAACCTGTATCTGATCTCGCCCTTCCTAGACGTAGCTGGAACAAAACGTTAAAGAAAATTATAAAAAATCGCGTTAACTATGGCAAAATAACCTTCAATAAATTATCATGTAATCCTGCAACAACTTCGCTTATAAGACCATGCAGTGTCCGCGTGTTCCTAATTTACATGCTTTTTTATTATTTTTCAAAAAATGTATGGATTAACAGGAACAGATTAATTAAGTATTCGGTTCAACCTTTGACAACCAATACTTAATTTGGGATACACAAACAAAATCATATTATACTGTACTACTGGGGGAAGGATTAATGAACTACGAGTACCCTAAAAAATTTTGCTGCCGTGTCATGCTACTGCAGTTAAGCTTTTCTCTGGTTCTGCTAAAAAAATCTTAATATTTCTAGTATTTCTGCTTGGTAGTTTTCGTTCTGTATCACATTTCGTAATCCCGTGTCCCGGGTAGAATTTGAGGAGCAGAGAACATGATAATGTCAGCATGTACCTACGCATTATCCACTAGTAAACTACGTTTCGCTATTTGATACTTCCGGTACAGTAACGAATATTCTTCAGCACGGATCAGTATGTACGCTTTTCATTATCAGATTCCATAGCCGTTCTACAATAGCCATAATTATGCTGTCCATAAACTGAAGAATCTCGAACATTAAGGCAACCAAACATTTCAGTGTGCAAGGTAGAGAATTTTTACCTTAATGCACCGTCTTCGCGGTGATTGTGCAGTCTTCCCGTACCTATGAGTTTTGTAAAAAATTTTTGGATAACAACATTAATCAGGCAGCCAGTTGTGTTACTTATAATGCGATCTGACATACGGCCACCGGCGGTATCGTACATTTCACGTTGCAGAACACAAATTTTCTTTCAAATTGCGGTCGGCTTGTACCTCTGTAGTGCCATCAAAGTTGTCTGCAGTAAGACTGCATGCACAGTTTCACGTGGATAGCGAATGATAATCCAGCACCTTTTATAGTTATTCTGCAGAGAAAATCTCTCACTAATTCTGCGCTAAAAGTGCGCTGTGGTGCGGTATCACCTAAAGGCATTTTTAACTCAAAAGTCAAGCTTCCGCTTAAACTGGTGTTAACGCTATTTCCGTCTTGTTTGTTTTTCACGCGCAGTGATCCGTAAGCAAGAAAAAGCATCAAAATTATCATGTTTGAACACAGCCACCTTACTTTCCGCTTAGCCCTGGCCTTACTGGCCGCCACCTTTGGGACCTGGTTCACGCACAGTTTCAGCATGTCGGCTCTCAACGTTCCGCAGTTTATCGTGCAGAACTGGATCCGCTCCGTCAAATGCCATCGTTTCGGTGGCATTTTCCGCGGCAACTATATCACCGGCAATTTAACCAACGCCGATTACTTCACCAACGCCACTGCCGATCCTACCCTGGCGCTGTGGTGTAGCGCCATCCCATCTCAACAAAAAGCGCGGGTGCTGAGTGATAACACGGAACTGAACACCCTGTGGGCGTTGTTTTCCTCCATGTTGTGCGTCGGCGCCCTCTTCGGGACGCTGCTGACCAATCCCCTGATCCGCTGCGTCGGGGTCAAACGGTCTCTGATGTGCGGAGCTGTGGTGCTGGCCGCCGGTTGCGTCATGTGTTCGTTCGCACCACTGGCGGCAGCGTGGGAGCTCTTTCTCGTCGGACGGATTGTCATAGGACTGGGAATCGGGGTGGGCTCCGTGGTAGCCCCTGTCTATACGGCGGAGATCACCCCTCCGGACCTGCGGGGTGCCGCTGGAACCCTACCGCCGATTATGTACGTGCTGGGATTAATCGCCACCACGGCAATCGGATTCCCGTCGGCGCTGGGGACGGAAACGGGGTGGCCGTGGTTGGTCAGCGTTGTACTTATCCCGGTGGCGGTGTCCTGTATTGCGCTTCCATTTTGCCCGGAGAGCCCGCGGTATCTTTACATGGAGAATAACGATGTGCAGCATGCCACGGCAGCGCTGGCATGGTTTCGTGGCACCTCCGACATCCAGGACGAAATCGAGCAGATGCACATGGAAGTTAACCACATGAAAGGAATGCGGAAGGTGTCGGTGTGGGGCCTCTTCACCGATCCGTACCTGCGGAAAATCACCGTCCTGACCGCCGTCCCCATGCTGGTCCACCAGTTCTGCGGATTCCAGTGCGTGATTTTCTATTCCACGTCCATCTTCGACAGCGTGGGACTGCGACAGTTGTATTCCGTATACGCCACGATGGGCGTCTGGTGCTGCTACTTCGCCTCGTTATTCATCTCGATGTTCCTGGTGGACCGGTTGGGACGCCGGACATTGCTGCTGATCAGCCAGTGCGGGATGATCGTCGCCCTTATCCTCTTTGTTATTTTTGCTAGTATAACGGAGAGCGGTGTCGAGGGAACGGAGTATGGAAGTGCAGCGTGTCTGCCGTTCTTTATTGTGTGCTTTGCGCTGGGCTCGGCGGCAATTCCCTGGATCCTCCCCGGGGAACTGTTTCCACAGGAGGCCCATAGCTCCGCGGCCAGCTTTACTGCGTCAGTGTGTTGGGCGTCCGCCATCCTGACGACCTTTTTGTTCCCGATTGTGCAGCATGCGGCGAAGCAGTACACGTTTCTGATTTTTGCCGGTTTGGTCATTCTGGGAACAGTGCATGTGGCCTGGAAGTTGCCGGAAACTAAAGGAAAAACTATTGATGAGATACAGACATATTTGCATGATGAAAGACTTATTAGCGAGCATGCGTTGCATGAGTGAACGGCGCGCAACGCCCTGAGGGAAAACTGCGCTCGATGCATCTTTACTGAAAAGAACGGTTTTGCAATAGGAGTCAATGCTCCGTAGCAACGTTTGTCATACAGTTTGCCTTTGTACCACTTTGCTGCTTTGTGGCAGCAGCCTGAAAATTAAAGCGATGGAAAACCGTTGCCGACAAATATGAAGCACTGCTCAATTCGAAACAATCATTTTGCAAATATTAGAGGAAATAGTCGCGTTACCTACCATCGGCGTGAACCATTCCGTAAAAGTGTTACGCTTAAATAAAGAAATTTAAATTAAAAATAAAATTATTCTAAAAAAATTTAAAAAAATTAAATTAAATTAAATCAACATCCAAAACATTTATTCATTAGATAATAACTAAACCCTCTGCAACTTGGAACTGAAGTAATTAGCTTGTTTTTGATAAATAAATACCAAGGTATTCAAACGGAAGTATGTATGTTTTCGCAGATGGTTGGCTAAATAGCGTGTTGGGCATTTGGTAGCACATTCCGGTCAAAACGCGCTTTGGTTATTTTGTTAGACTGCAGTTACGCCCATCTCGCTGCTTTGTTAATCTTCCTGCTATTCTCCGAATACTACAGAACCTAAAAATTTTTACGTTGTCTGCATGTACTGTGTAATGCAGATACAGCAACACAAACACTGATAAGGATTAAAATGTGCTATGTATTGTGGCTTCGGTACCACTACAGACCTTAACACAACATTAAAATTTTAGCAACGCCAGTTTGTGCGATATTCCGTGGTTAAATTACTAACAAACTGCCAACTGGGCACTACGACGAAATAATAACTTATATGATGAGAATATTGGATCTTTAATGTCGCGATCGAATGTTTTGGTATGCTTGTAGCTTATTTTCATTTCAGAAAAGAAATAGGTATTTGTCAATTTCAGGAAAATTTTATGAACATCATGTTGATTTACTGTAGATTCGACTTATTATAGCCATGTGTCCATTTTAAACGCCGTATGTCGACAACCGAACTTGTGTACGCGTACAAACGGTTCTCAAAGGGTGAAGCACGGAATAAAAAAACTGCAAAAGATGGTGCACGGAGTAAAAGATAGTGATTAGTAGGGTACGGAGTAATCATTGATTATTTCATACAAGCACCATAGCTGGCGGCTTTTATTACGGGAAATGGCCCGGTACATGGTGCCTAATTTGGGTACATACGCGAAAACATCAAGTCAATGTATATGAATCCTTCAACTATAAATGACAGAAATCGTGCTAAAAAGGGGTTTTGGACTGCGCGTATCAGTCGAATCATACCAGCTAAATGACAAAGAAGCTGATGGCCAAAAGAACCACATGTACACCAGCCTTTTCGCTGAAATCCAGCAGAATGGTCGATGCTGCGTAAAACGTCCTGTAGACTGTATCCTCATTTCGGCCGGCGGCACCTTTGATGAATCCACTACTACGTGGGGCTGCCGGCGGCATACAATCACGGCGGCATTGTAATATACTTTAGTAAAACATGACATCACTCCAGCCATTCAGCGATCTTTATGGTATCGGTGCCCGAACCGAAGTATTCTTTTGTGGTAGTTGTGCAGCGCTCAGAAGTGAACTTAGGTACTGCATACAGAATGTATTTCGTACCATAATATGAAAATCTGATCGATTGCGTCGCACTTTGTGATACTTTTTGTTACCAGTTAGTGGCAGTTACACATGCCGACTAGCTTTGGTACGTAAGCGATGACACCTTGGAAATAACAAAAACTCATTTATTAAATTATTTTTCATATGTGGGTTGTTAGGATTTCCGCTGTGAATACGGCATGCTAGCTAAAATGTTCTCACGCTAGCTTTATAAAAAAAGGAAAGGGCGATTCTTTCGGTGCACTATGCCCAGGGCCGTGGCGAGGGCGGGGGGGGGGGGCGCGCTACCCCCCTTCCGGGAAAAAAGTGTTAAAATTTCCCATACTTCGTATAAAATTTAAAAAAATCGGGACTGGCGCATTCGGCGCCATACTTCGCCCTCGGGAAGAACAATAGCGCCCCCCACCCTCCCGAAAAGCTCGCGACGGCCCTGACTATTCCCATCCGTGATTTCTCACTACGGGCTTTGAGAATGCAGACTGACCTTGACACAAAGCCATCTTTCCTTGCCGTAGCATCCCAAGCCACCACAGGTCACAGAAAACTTGAGCGCATGGAGCTGTATTTTGGAACACCAAGATACGAAAGATGGGTGAATGCATAAAACATCTCCAATGATATCGAAAACCGGTGACCTGACCTAAAACCACATAAATTGTCTACATTTTTGGAGTAGTACATCAATATTCGAGATGATTTTGTTGGCAAACTGCTAAACGATGAAACTCGACGAAGAAAAACCGGCACGCGAACGCCGAAAGCTCCTTACTCACGGGACAGCGATTTTGTCACATCAGATGATGTTCTATACTGCGCGGTTATCACAGCTGTTAAGAACAAAGTGACAGTTCCGGGAATCACTTTGATGTGAATAGTTCAAAAAATTAAAGGTCGTGCACACAGGATAAATGTAGTACCGAATGGTGGAGCGCGGAGTCAAATGTAGCGCTCGAAAAGATAGAAAAGGGTAAAGCACGGAATAAAAAAACTGCAAAAAATGGTGCAAGGAGTAAAAGATTGTGAAAGGTAGTGTACCGAGTGGTCATTAATTATTTCATACAAGCACCAAAGCTGGTGGCTTTTATTAAGGGAAATGGCCCGGTACATGGTGCCTAATTTGGGTACATACACGAAGACATCCACTTTCGCGAACTCCCAAACACTTTTCTGCATCGCTTTGTTGCATTCCGAAGCCAAATGATTTGTGTACATTGGTGTGAAAACCATTTGTGCGCGCAACATCCGGTTGGGAATTTATGAGCGAAATAAGATTACGAAAAGTTTAAATGCAAGAAGGTGTACCAAAAGTCTCATTGTGAAGCGATCTCTTCCAAATGTTGCAGAAAAAGGCACATAAGTATAAAGATCGTTTTGACACGCAAACAGAATTTTGGTATTTCTTCCAATTTTAAAATGAATTTTAAAATTTTTTAAATTCATTCTAAAATTTGAAAATCATCATGGAAACCTGGTTCCGTGTCGAAACGATCTTTATTCTTATATACCGTTTTGCGCAAAACTTTAAAAAGATCGCTTCATAATGAGACTTTTGGTACACCTGCTTGCATTTAAACTATTCGTAATCTTATTTCGCCCATAACTTCCCAACCGGATGTTGCGCGCACAATTTAACGGTTTTCGCACCAATGTACACAAATCATTTGGCTACAGAAAGCAATAAAACGATGCAAAAAAGTGTTTAGGAGTGTGCAAAAGTGGTTGTTTTCGTATATGTACCCAAATCTGGCAACATGTACCGGGCCAATTCCCTTTACACCTGTTTTCCTTTTGTTTCCCTCATCTACTTAATTTTATAAAATCAAATTTTAAATGAGATCAGGACCGATCTAAGCTTTCCATACATTTCCGCGTTTACGTTCACCATCCAATAAACATTTCTTTTTACACAACAACAACGGATCTTTTGGGTTGGTCAGATGTTATCGACCATTTTAAAATAGCTTACAAATAACCAGTTCGATAAATAACTCCTTGCAGAATGCCAGGAACATGATGACTGGTGTAGCTGCTTGTATTTTGACGGCGCTGAACGCATTCGCCGAACATGATAACCAGTTTACTGCTCTTCGAGTTCGGCTTCCATAACTTTGACATTGCATTTCATAAAATAAACTTGTAAAATTGGAAATGGTTTAATAATTTCTATAGTAATTACCGCGCCTAAGGCTTAGGTGGGTGGTATAGTACTGTATGTGGGATGGTCGATGCCAGCCAGTTGGTCTGTATAATGAAAAGCACTGATGGAGAGGAGCGACTGCTTTAAACAGAGTGTCACATCCAACACCCGTCCTCGTATGTTGATCCGCAGCATACACACAACTCCACGTAAACACCACAGTTACAATCTAAGCAGCCGGCATAACATGCTTATTTTCCCGCGACTATTAGGTAGCATACCATCATTCCTTTTCTGTGTATTCTTAGCCATATGATTTCTCTCCGACCCCAATAAAGTGGGTTGATCCACACGTCTGCCACTTTTATGGCGCTTCCAGTGCAAATCGCAGGCTTATTTATTCCGGTCTAAAAAGAATCGCGTTAAGGATATTCCGTGGTAATGCTTCTTTAATACAGTCGTTTAAACCGACTTCGCCACGTTAGTCCGCTGTGCGTGGATTTCTATTAATCCTCCGAGGTGAATCGGCTGTAGAGATACACCTGTCTTTTTTACTGCGGTTGTTACACAATTGATTGTGATATCCATAGGTCATGGATCTCACAGAAGAAGACGCTGCCTTTTATGCCCGCTTAAATTGCACGGTAAACAGCTCGGTGGACGTGCTGATGTTTGTGGACCAGAGTGATCCCGGCTACTTGACCCAGAGATATAACCACATCAGCATCCTGCTCGTTTTGGCCGGTTTCGGTGTGGTACTCAATGCCAGCATGATTGCGATACTGCTGAAGAGTGCCTTGTATCGTCATTCGACGTTAAGCATACTGGTAGGTTAACAATCGTGTTTTAGTTGGAATTATTCTGTAACAATAAATTGTATGCCGTGGAATAATTATCTACTGCAACATCATTATGGCACACAGTAGTTATGCTAAATCGATCCAAATCATACTTACAATAATTATGATTATATAAATTAAGATAAAAGTTGCGCAAACCATCTGCTGAGCTATTTCCTCATCATGATTCCTGCAGACCGTCGAGAAAAATATGAACGTGTGAAATTTACGACCATAAAAGAATACGTACCGGTTCCCAGGTTTCGTGGTTTTGGCCAATGGCCATTGTGCTCATAATGACCTCACCTTACCTCACCTCACCTCACCTCACCTCACCTCACCTCACCTCACCTCACCTCACCTCACCTCACCTCACCTCACCTCACCTCACCTCACCTCACCTCACCTCATCTCATCTCACCTCACCTCACCTCACCTCATTTAAAACTGCCGAAAAGGCACGTAGGGTTGTTTTAACACAAGCGCCGTAACGCACATCTGCTGTATCTTTTACGCATGTCCGTAGATTCTGCACTGTAGTGGAAACCCTGCTCTGTATAATGCAATTTTATTTTGCTGAAAAGTGTTCAAAAATGCTGAAAATTTGATAAAGTTAGAGAATTAGTTACTTTTGCGACACTTGCAGCATTCTATAAACCGCTTGGTGTGGCAGCGTAATGCGGTTCTTGTATTAAAAAGTTTTCAAAACTCCCGTTCGTTTTCTTTTTTATTTTCGTTTCAAGAAGCGGCTTTTTAGCAGTATTTCTACAACCGCAATACTGCGAGAAATACGCTTTATTGCTCCTTATTCGATTCGATAGATTCGATAGAATTCTATTGAACAAGGAGCAATAAAACGTATGAAACGGTTTTGCAAATGCGCTGCCTAGCTAGCTGGAAGGAAGCTAATGCGGAATCAACAGATTTGCGTTAACGATGCACAGAAATATTACACAAAATCAATCGAACGTGAAATACGACGGGTGTTAATGAGCGTACACAAGTATGTTTACCAAATCAGCGTAATGATGCGCACACAGATAGGTGCGGGCATGCGGAGAGTACGGGTAAGACGAGACGACGATAGAGTGACAACTTAATCACTTGAGCGCTTCAGTGTCATAATAACTGATAATTTTGAAATGAGGCACCTCTCGATAAGAAAATGCCCCGAGAGAAAAATAAGGGACTTGCTAGAATGCAGTCAGTTTAATTGTTATCACAATAATTATTAGAGATTTGCATCATGCGTGTATCGATGTATGCAGTTAATGATATTACTAATTTGCATAAGAGTAATAATAATAATAAACAATATCATCATTAGTAGTAATAATAATAAACAAATACCATAAAAGATTTCCGTGGTGGTGGTGCTTTAAATGATTAATCTTAAATCCCCTAATAAGTATTTACCAGCACGGGTAAGGTATATACCACATAAACATATACAACCACCAGCACGGGCTCGCCTAACATTTGCAGTTACCGGCTGCTAATAAAATTTGTAATCCGTAATAGCGATTTGTTACGTTGTACATGTGTCACCAATTTGAGCTATTCTTCGTGCTCTATCATCGAAGAATTTGCTCATAAAAAAAATTATACTCAAGTATCTTTAGCACGCTAACATTAACCGGCTGGTTTGTTGTTTTGTTGTTTTTATAGGATTTGTCGTTTTAAAATTTTGCAGCGGGGTAATTTATGTTTGTTTATCTTTTGCAGTTATTGCAGTTGTTTGCGGCTAATTTGCTGGTGTCGGTGTTCTGTCTTCTGGCTGACGGGATCTGGAACATCACCGTGCAGTGGTTGGGTGGGGATTTTCTCTGCAGAATCATCAAGTTTTGCCAAATGTTCAGGTGCGTTTTACAACTATCACACTACTGCATTTTACGTTTCCGCGGACCGGACCTTTATCGGGCAAGATAATGGTGTGTTGATGTTTGACTTCCGTATCGTGCGTACAGATAGTATGTATGGTGCAGCTAGCAGGATCCGGATGTAATGATCAGGCGCGCCACGAGCAGAGTAATTGACTCCCCGATGGTCCGCTACAGCCCAGTTGGAAAACACGCGTGCTTTTTAGCGGCACGGCGGGAATTTGTTGTTAGTGCACACAATACAATGAAGGTCGACTAGGGACTATGTGTGCCATTGTTAGCGCTGGTCTCCGCTGCCAGCATTGGCAATGCTAATCGGTCAGACAAACGCTCCGCATATTGCCGGCACGCTCAGTGTCCGCATGTATCATTTTAACTCGCTTCTCACTTCATTTTTATGCTGCCGAAAGAAATCAATATCCCAGCCAAGCGGAAACCTGGAGTGCTAAATTTCATAATCATGAGTGAATTTAAAAAATTTCAAGGAACTGATGGTAACAGAGCAGTATCAAACATTACTGCTGCCTCCGGCTGGAAAATATTTTGCAGCTGATACCCGACAGTACCAAAAAAATAAATAAACATGTTAACCAGGAATGTACGCTCGCTTTTGGCGGGCACTGCATGACCATGCAAAACGCAGCAGTGGATCTAAAAATGCTTTTTATTTAATTACGGTATATATCTGTAGTAGAAAAGGTGAATGTTACGATTATGAAGAATGTTTAAAAAAATTCAGTTAGACTTCCCGGACAAATGCATATTCCGCGGTTCTAAGATAATATAAATTTTGGATGCAATATTTTTGCCGGCCATATTGAAAAATATTCTATGAAAGCTACTTGGAGGGAAATAGCGGTCTAATTTCGGTGGCCGTCCTTCAGACCCGGCGGATGCATGGTTTTACCGATTATAGACGTGTTACTGGGCAACAGTTATTGCAGTTTCCAAATTTTATCTTTGACGATTTGAGTAACGCCTAGTCTTGTTTGTTTTACTCGCTCATCATTCGAAAAGACGGCGGGAACGTTCCCGGCAAAAGCCAAAGTATTTTCAACATAAACGGATTTTTAAGTACGGTTTTTAGAAATTCGTTACACGTTAAACAGCTGCAGCCCTCCATGAAAATGCACTGCCCATTATCAGACCAGGAGGCAGTTTGTCCGTTCCGGTATTGTGTTGTCAGAACAAAAACGGATCAATAGAAAGGCTCCTTACATGTTAGCAGGCACGCAGCGCACTCACAGAAAATCAGCCAACCTAATTTGATCACTACCAAGACATTCAGGAAGTCACTGTCCACATTACCCTTTAATTAAGTCACACATGATTTCCTCAGCAAATCCATTTCTTTTGTCAAACAAATCAGACACAACCCGCATCGTTCGTTCTGCTGCAACGCCACCGGAAAAACCGGTTCACTGCAAAGCAGAATAAGCGGCGCTTAATCGGGGCCGGCACGCAGTAATTCGCTGCAGCTCATCCCTTGCGGTTAATGCTTGCGCGTGCGCTCACGTCAGTAATTATCTCGTAAAGTATTGTTGTCTTCTCCATATTTAACCCGGATGTCATGTGCTGCAGAACACTGATTTATATGTAATAATGATATTTTCAGTTTATACGCCACCAACCTGATCCTCACCGGGATAAGCATTGAGACTTGCATTACTGTGACCTTTCCGCTGAGTAAATCCAGTAGGGCGGAGAGTCAATCCCGAGTCAAAATCATCAGCGGATTTACCTGGGTCGTCTCCTCACTGTGCAGTGTACCGCAGGTGAGATCTGCTGTCGGTTGCTACAAAATATGCAGCAAAATTATGCCGGTACGGGCAACACAACAGTTGAACTGGGAATAGCGTGGCAAAAGTTACGTCAGGCTGCTAAAGCAGCTTGGGCGGCAATAAAACATTTCCAGCAACCAATTTGGATCGGTTGTGAATGATGTGAAAACAGTTGAACTTTACTGAACACAGACAGGCTGGGCTGTTTCTAAAACTTTTGGAATTTTACGCAAAGAAAACAACTCTACATAAATCCTTTAGAGGTTTGCACGGAAAATAACAGTCTACAAATGTGCCCGTGTATAAAAAAATGCTGTATTCGCTCCGTAAAGTTATTCCAGAACTAAATGCGCCCAAGTACGTACGTTAGAAAATATAGCAGAGGAAAGATGCGTGAAAAAGGCAGGTATGTTTAAAGTGCAGCTGCTGTCTGTTAGCCGTCGTTGTTTCAAATAACCACGTGCTAGAAAGACAGTTAATATATGGTTCCGACTCTATTAAATGCAAATTCGTACAGCAATTTTAATGTGAAACCATCGAGACATATGTAAATTCATGAAAAATAAGCCAAATAAAAACCTCAAAAACACCTGATGCAGCATTATTTTTCATGAGATATTCAAACCACTTTTTGAAAAGGTTGTATACCAAAATAACGTATTTTGTAACGTATTTTGTATGATCACGAAGTGATTTTGCAATATACCCGTTAAAGATATTTTCAAAAGCAACAATTCGAAACATTTACGGAAAAACGGCAACTTTTTGGAAATAATCATGCTGTTGTGTGAGCATCCTTCCAGATTAGAACTCCATGGGTAATATAATCAAATCTTAACGAAAACATCTTCGCTGAGTCGGCATTTTTGTAGGCGGTGATTTTCCATGCGGAGCGTGCGCCGATTTGCGCTAAATTCTATCAGTGCGTAACGCATGGCTTCTACTCGAGCACCGACCAAGAGCTCGCCTATACCATGGCCACCCTCATTGTCATGTGCATGGTCCCGTTGTGCGTTATTATTGTCTGCTACTTGGTGATTTCCGTGGCCATTACGAAGGAATCAAGGATTGCAGCCGGGAGTCCTGGTAGGCGGTCGATCATCAGAAGAGACCATATCACACTATTTTTTTGTTGCGATTCCGGGGTGCTTTGATTAGTGTTTCCTTAATGACCATTAATATAAGCTTTTGTAATGCTCTGGAATCACGTAACTGTAGTGCTTGAAATGTGTCTCACGTGTTGATATTTATTGTTATATTATTCAACATAAACATAATTATACTGATTCCTAATGTGCAATATAGTGTATAATATGTACTGTTAATGCAACATAGTCACGTGACTTAGGTTTATTGTATTTAGCGGAACACACCTGTTAATCCACTGAGCATTTACCGCACCCACACTTTTCACCGGAATCGATAGATTTATGCGAATTACATAATATAATGCGTAATCCGTATCCTTGCACGCCATTTATTAGACCCTTATACAGTATATCCAGATTCACACACTGCAAATTTGAGTTCTGTTTTTGCTGAATGATCATCATCCACAATCACAACTAGCACCTCAGGTTTGCCGCACGATAGTAAGGAAAAACTAAAAAAGATAAGAAAAACGAAAAAAAAAGAAACGAAGAAAAACGAAGATATGAAAAAATTAAAAAAACACCTACTGTGAATGGCAACAATCTATATACTGGGCAGCAGGATTATGTAAAATACAAGTCCATGTAGTCCATGTATTGTATGTAGTCCATGGTGCTCTACACTATGTCGGCCAGCGATTCGTCGGCTACCGAATTTCAGCTGCCCGATGTGAAGCGAGGTCCGGTGTTGGTCAACAAAATATAGTTTCTGCGAGATTTCGTTCAACGATTTCGAGCGAGAGCAGTAGTCGGGTAGCGATACTTAAAATTAGCTCTTAGTACTGAAAAACTACTAGTGACATGCTGCCGCTCAAAATCAAAGTTTTACTAGCAACTTCCAAAGCAACGAGATCATTTCTGAGAGAGTCCGTGTATTAACACACTTTATGCATGTATTTATAATTATTACATCACACGAGTATGTGGTTCTAGCAGTTATTACCTAAATTTTTCATGAAAAAGATTTAATTCAGCTCTTTTTTCTTGCTTAGATTCTGTCGTTAATTTGAGGATGTGCCCATGTCAGTGCCACCTAGAAGAAACCAGCATTTCCATGTCTAGTATGCAGAACACCGTGATGCTGTGTCCGGGCAGTACGGGCCAGGGGAAACGGATGTACCGGAAAACCCGGCAGATATCGTTGTGGATGACTTTCATTACGGCTGCCAGCTTTGTTATCTGCTGGGGTAAGTCTGATCAGCAGGTATAACAAACGGAAAGTATTTATAGTACTGTACCTTACCTAAAAATACACTATACTTACGGCGTAATGACCAAATTAAACTTCCTTTCCGTTGACTCCAACACAGATCGATCGCGTTCTCGTAGTATTCCTTGAGACTAATTCAGTCGGTAACATCAAGGAAACAATCCGTTTGACTGTACCCTCGTGCTTGCAGTGCCGTACTATGTGGGAATGCTGGGATATTTGTTCCACTGGAGCATCTCCTCTCGGACAATGACTATCATTTTTTGTCTGGGTAAGCGTTGGTTTTATGAAAATCAGAAAACACAAGCATAAAGCGAAGCGCGATTCTGAAGAAAATATAAGCATTAAATAAATTCAAATAAAATAAACTGAATATAAAACGTTCCAGGAAACACATGCAGGTTAACAAGATACCGGTGTCTTTGTGAATTTTACGCCTTGGGCTACTCTTGCAAGCCTGAAGAAACCAGCAAAATATTTTATCTGAAAAGAATTTGCAGCGTCCCGAGCCGCCTGACATTATTTTGTTTTAATAAATTTAGGAATGAGTTTTTCGGTGGTCAATCCGATTATTTTTGGCGGATTTTTGTTAACCCGTCATTCCATCTGGAGCAACCAACAATGGCACTACACAGTTAGACGACCTTCTATTTTCTCGTTCATTTGCTCTACAGAGCACGTACCGTATTTTGCATAATTTATTCTGGTTTTGCATCTGCCGACACTGTCGTATCATAGTCTACGTGTAAAACGCTTGTTTTACTGGATAATTTCCTTTTTAATGGTGGTACAAGTACAGCGACTGCGACAGGGATATTTGGTGTTTTGACTGTTCTGTTATGGTACGGAATTTGTGCTATAGCTTCATCCTGTTTAAATAAATTTACTATACTCCGTATCATATCTGGAATAGCGATGAAATAAGATTAACCTTAAATAAGGCATGACCGCCACTGGCGGTTATGCCTGCATAAGCAGACAGCAACCTGGAATTACAAAAATTCTGGTGATGCAAGTAAACATGCCAAAAAACCCTTCGCGTTGGGATCGGCGGCCGAGGGGTGTCCTACGGCTAAATGCACCAAAAAAGAGCCCGCCCGCGGCTGACATTGTTGCTAATGCTGTGCAGGACGTTGATATTATATTGTCGAACTGAGTCATTAAAATCCAGCAAACCCACACTTACACTCGAAAACTGCTAAGACGCTGAAGTGGTAGGCACTAATGATGCTGACCAGTAATGTACGATTAAGGTGCAGTGCTGGAAGTAGTTATATGTGAGGAAATACCGGTTTCTATGAAAAAGGAGTCTTGATAATACAACCAGGATTGAACGAAACCATCAACAGGTTTACTGCAATCTTAACGTTCCACCTTACTTACGAGCCGCTTTATGGACAGAGTAGAAAAAACTAACCTAAAAAACTTGGTAAAATGTTTTTGATAAAACTGGCTCGGTTATGCTGCTAGTCAGCTGAACTATATATTTAGCGACATACACCAAAAGGTGCGCCGAACTTTATATATAATCGTGGGAAATGAACACGGAAGCGCACTTCCAATCGGCTATACGTGGTTTCGGAAAGCTCCACGCTCGCTTTCCAGCAGTGAAGTGAAGGAGTGAAGTGAAGGTGAGATGGAGGACATGGAGTGAAGGTAAGACGGGAAAAGGCAGCATATAAGAATAAATAGGCTGCGATTATTGAAACATGGGACGGGATCCTGGAAAATACTTTAAATATACTCCAAGTTCTAAAAAACTATGAAATTGTATCGGTTGTACCAGAGGTACAGAGCACCGTGCCACTTGCGTGCTCTTTGCATGTAATCTGCTTTAGAAATACGGTATTCTTGAAAACAGATCACAACCTGGGAACGATTACGTTATCCAATTAAGGTGATGTCAAAAATTAGGAATAACTTACAATCAATTTTGTAAGTATTGTTAAACAGCCGATAATCGCGCCGACATTCCGTTCATATATCCCACGCTTATTCACAGACTCCGTGAACGCAGCCGAATCCCGTGCGGACCCCAAAAGGTCACGGGCGCATGCATTCAGTGCCCGTGTTTCTCCGCCTTTCCCGTGCATCTAGTCATGACGCTAATTACGATAAATGTCCAGCATCAACAGGCATCTGCCCCTGTACTCCTTATTCAAAACATCTGATAACTACTGCCTGTATTCTACAGAAAACTGATCGTGTTTAATCTTTGCGGCATCACGTTTTTCTTAGCACTTACAACGTTTGAACGGATGCGAGCAAGGTATGTCCTTGGTGGGGAATGTTAAGTTAACATTAAAACAATAGAAAAACTGTTGAAAATTTGCCGAATTCTTTATTTAACCTCTGGAGATATTTGTAGGTGCTCTGAAATTTCAAAATATTATAAGATTTTGGGACGTCATTGTGTCAGCTGCGTGTCAGCTGGTTCTTCGAAAACTGATGTACTGGCTTTAAAGTGTACACTGCCCGGCGTGCCCACTGAACAGAAGCGGACTTGACAGCCCATGTTGTTGGGAACGTTGTGAGTTTTGTTGGCTCAGACCTTATAAAACAGCATTCGATGTGTCGACATTGTACATTCACCCATGGCCATGACCGACTAATCTGCTCCTACCCTGCAGATTCTTTTCGTCACATATAGGCAAAAAAATCCTGTTCGTAAGCACCGCCGAACTGATTATTCATGGTTAGCAGTGAGAACACATTAATGCGCCTTAGTAGTTTAATCTGCCAGTGTGACATTTTATGCCCGGTATCATTTCCTTTGTTTTTCATCGGATCTACCTACACAGTATATTAAAATGAGATTTTCCATGATATTGGCTTTATAGTTTTGCCGTTGTCTCCTGATCTGCGGGAACGTGTCGGCCCCTTCCTTATCAGTGTCATGGAATTGTCCACAGCTCTAGTTAGATTTGATTTGTAAGTTGCAGTCATTTGCAGTAATTCTACAACCTTGAAAAACTATTCACAGTTTGGATTCCTTTTGTTTGCAGTTTTTCTTAAAGTCCAAATTCCCAAGCATTCTTCCGCAATATCTTTTTGCAGTTATTTCGCCAGTATATTTATTGGAAAGGAAAGCATCATATTATCGAATTAAAATCAAATAAACACGAGTAAAAGTTTTATTACAAGATTAATGTTACCGCTTCCGGAGTCCACTGTGGGCACTGGAACCCCGGCTGCTGGGAAGCTGGTACTCTCGGCAATCGGCTGAGTGCGGTGACCGTGGGTCAACGAGAAGCCGGCCGACCGGGGGTCGGCAGAGGAGAGCGACCAGTGCCCTGCACAACCGAAGGCCCCAAACAAAACCCCAAACAAATCATCGGTAAGGATTGATGCCGTCGACAGGCACAGTGCCGCGGATATATTTCGCGAAACATCCGGATTTCCATCGGCCGGTACGTTGAATTTGGCTGTCTTCGCATCCTGCCAAGGCGGCTGTCGTTGTGCCGCCGATGCGGAAGCTGTGGGTACTGTACTTCTGGTGATCCGGAAGCGCACGCAAAAGTTTCTTCAAGGTGAAATCGACTGCAGAGCGGGTAAGGTAGGCACCGCTAGACTGAATGAAGAGCGGTTCACGTTGGCTGGCCATGGTCGTCCTAACCGCTGTGTACGCGCGTAAGGATTCCACGGGATACACGGAACGCCCGGTCTTGCGCAGTGACAGACGATAACCATACCCGAACTGATCCGTCTTTGTTGACTTCAGATTCAGAACGACAGAATCTGTGTGGAGTGTGACGTCTTCCAAGAGGAGGGTCTGCTTGGCTGCAAACTGATTGGGCGCAGCAGCGGTATATTCGCTCACCCTCAAGAGTCCGGTGAAAGCCGCAGTGAAGGCTGCCCAGTACATTTTCTTATCGAGGGAAGGCAGGCTGGACTTCGATATTTCGTCTTTCAGGTGACGCATAATCTGCAGCGTGATGGGCAGGCGTTGGTCACGTTGTTGTCCAGATAAGCGCTGGTAACCGTCCATTGCACGCATCACGACGTTTGAGCCAGCGAACGGAGTTAAGCCACGTTCAACATGCAGCTTACTAATAGCGGCTAAATACACCTTTGCGGTTGATGGCGCAACATTCCGCAAATGCAAATGCGCGATAAAACGGAGAAGGGTTTCTTTTGATGCCGGCAGGCTGGTTTCACCGTGCGCGCGGCAGTACGTGGCAAACTGGTGCCATCCGGAACCATATGTATTTCTGGTACTCTGCGCCAAGTGTTGTTTTTGTAGCATGGACGCAACATCGTTCAGCTGACCGAGGCCGTGTAGCTGCTCTGTAAATCGCTCCATATGTCGGGAAGACTGTCGGGGTAGAGGTTGGCTGCGGGTGCTAGCCGGCGAAACCGGTCTACCTGAAAGCGGGAGATTGCATCAGCTACGCCGTTATCACATCCACTAATATGTTTGATGGTGAAGTGGAAGTTTCCTTCTGCTGCGATCATGGTCATTCTGCGCATGAGGTCAAGCACAGCTCGATTGGTTGAGCCTAACTTATCCCAAGCCTCACAGACTCCCAGATTGTCACAGTGAAACATAACGTTCTTGTTCCGAAACGATTGCTGCCACAGCGTTATCGCGAACAAGACGCCTAACATCTCCAGATACTCGATGCACGGCATGGCATCCTTAATCCATTGTGGCCATGGAGATGCAAACCAGCGGCCGCTGTAATAACCGCCCACTCCAAGGCGGCCCGAGGCATCGGTAGAGAGGTGCAACGTGTCTGGCCTGCTCCATTCTGGCTCCAGAATAGTAGCTGAACCATTCCAAGCGGGCAGAAACCTGAGCCACCAAGCGATGTCCAACTGAAAGTCAGCGTCTAGTTGAATGGCTGTGACAAACCGGGGTCTGTGAGTGGACAGACCGGACATTTTGTGAATGAGACGTCTTAAGTAAAGCCTACCAGCCGGCACACATTTGGTTGCAAACTGTAACGAGCCGACAAGACTCTGCAGTTCTACCAACGAGCATGACGTTTTCTTCGACCAGGACCGAAGCAGCTCAGTTAGATTGTTGAGCTTTCCTTCTGGTAAAGACAAAGTCTGAGCAACGGAATCGATAGTTATTCCCAGAAAGACTATGCGCGTGCATGGGCCCTCTAGCTTGTTTGCTGCGAGCGGAACACCCAATTCGTCACACAGTTTCATGAACAAACTGACCAATTCAGCGCATCTACTACCAACCGGCGCGATGATTAGGTAATCATCAATGTAGTGTAAAAGTGCAACGTGGCCGGAAATCTTGCAAAATATCCAGTGTATGGCATCAGAGCACATACAAAATAAGCGCGGCGCGGAGCGGCAGCCAAAAGGTAAAACCACGTCGTGGTAATATTTACCTTTGAACTTGTAGCCAAGAAGGTTCCACTGAGAGCGGCGTACAGGAATTAGGCGGAACGCATTGGCAATGTCCAGTTTCGCCATCACTGCGCCCTTTCCATATGCGGCGATCAGCTTAGTGGCGTCGTCCACAGAACAAAACTTCAAAGGTGGTTCATCCTTTGCGATGAAGTCGTTGACGGATGTTCCAGTCGGTTGGGAGAGGTCCATAATTGTGCGAAATCCACCGCTGGACTTCGGTCTAACACCAAGAGCGTTGCAAACAAAGTTTGGTAGTGGCGGCCGGTCGAAAGGGCCGAGTGCGTGACCACATTTAACGCTGTTCTCAATTGATGATGAAATTGCTTCAGGATTTTCATCTGCAGTGCGGGAATTTTTTGTGTAGCGGGATAATTCTGGGCCGCGGTATCCAATATCCGCTCCGTCAGTGATCATGCGGATCAAATCTTCGACAAACGTTCGGTCAGGATGTGCTGACAGGAGTTTTTTGAAGGCCGCCGGTTTAAGTGGCGTACTACTCC